ATCGATTGAACTAATCAGATTGAAAAATTACGTTAAATTGCTTTCCACAAACCGGTTTTCAGTCCATTTGAACATTAGAGCATTGCTGCATTTAAACAAAATAAAATGCATTACGTTCAAATAAATTTATTTTAAACGTTAGTCCAAATGAATATATAAGTTTAAACTTTCGTTGGTTCATCGAACATTAGTCTAATTGATATGACACCAAAAGTTCAGGCAATTTACAAACCGGTTATTCAATTTTTCAATTTTCAATTTCCCGGCTTCTGATACGCCACTCTGATTGGTTGAATTTTTCAGGATACACACACAAGATTAGGTTCGCCTCAAGATTAATAAAAAGAGAGGATCAATTATTGATCTCCACCATTATAAAGTTTTCAGCTGAGGTTAGATAAACTCGAGATTTAGATTAGAAAAGCTAGATCGAGTACAAGTAAATAAAAAATAGTTTAACAGAAGTCAAGCAATATTTCTAGATGGAAAAACAAATTGCACTGTTTTTTAGAAAAGAAAATATTTAAAATATAAACAATAACAATCTTAAATATATAGATACTAAGATATACAGTATGGACAAATAGTTAGATAGTTAGATAGGCAGATATATATTGATGAGGGGAAGGGTCCAGAAAATCATGGTGTGAAAGTGAAGAGATAGGCACCTTAACATTGACATGGTACAGATAGATAGATAGATAAATAGATAAATAAGACAGATAGAAAGATAGAAAAATAGATAGATACATAGATATATATATACAGATAGATAAGAACGATAAATAGATATATAGAAAGAAAGATATAAAGATATATAGATATATGGAAAGATAGATAAATATAAAGATAAATATAAAGATAAAAAATCTGATTTTCAAAGGAAGAATTGAAACGCAGCATTCTCAATTTTTCCGGTTTGGATACCTGGTCTGAAAAGATTAAAGCGTGAGCCGGGGCGGGAAAATGTTAATTTGAAATTCAAAACTAAATTTGAATATGGCTCATTCAGACGCGGGTATATAAAGGGAGAAGAAAGAAAAAAACGATGTCGAAGAAGAAAAATATTTCAGATTATTAAACAAGAAACTAGCGATAATTGCAGTCAATGGACGGAACAATTTCATTTGGTGGATTTTTTGTTCGGTTCCCGGATTTATTTCAAGATTTTCCATTCACGTATACATACACAGGCAAATAGCAGAGTTTCATTTTTAAAAATCATCGAAAAAAAAACCCAGCGAGTATAAAGTGGAGGGTGGAAGGGGTAGAAGGGAAGAGGATGGGAGGGATAGAAGGGTGGAGGGTGGAAGGGATAGAAGAGTGGAGGGTGGAAGGGATAGAAGAGTGGAGGGTGGAAGGGATAGAAGAGNTCCTCCTACCCTCCTACCCTCCTACCCTCCTACCCTCCTACCCTCCTACCCTCCTACCCTCCTACCCTCCTACCCTCCTACCCTCCTACCCTCCTACCCTCCTACCCTCCTACCCTCCTACCCTCCTACCCTCCTACCCTCCTACCCTCCTACCCTCCTACCCTCCTACCCTCCTACCCTCCTACCCTCCTACCCTCCTACCCTCCTACCCCCCAAGCCCTTATATCTAAGTTGAAGCCCTGGGACTGTGTAAAACTGTCATCGTAAATAATATTCTGAAAGCAAAGGTAGAAGGAATCTACAGAAAGTTCTGAATAAATGCATTTTTAATCGAGGACCCTCTAACCCCCCAACCTCCCTCCAAACTCTTCCATCCCTCCTCCTACTCCCTCCATTTTCTCTTTCTTTAACTCCCCCCTCACTCTCATTTTCCCTTTTTTACTTTTTTTTTCAATCTTTTCATAGCACAATTATTACATAACAGTCAAGTACCAAATTTCGTAAACTTTACAAATTGACTTCCTTTTCATAATGTGAATTTTTGCACCCCTATGTATGGCCTATCCACAATGTCCCCCCCCCCCTCCCCCCCGCTGTCTGATACACTTTTTGTGGGATCATGCGACCGATGTTCATTTAACTTAATTAATTTAATCCAGCTCAATTCATTATATTTAACGCGACAATCATGAAATGTGTACAGCAGGACATTCGTGGATTTCATGCTAGATTTAGATTTTTTTATTCTAATAAATCTTTTTATACTCGACTCACAAAATGCAACTGAAGTACTTTTTTCTGGATAGTGGTTTACTTTTATAGGTGAATAATATTGAAGTATTTTAATTAAGGACACTCAGTGAGGGTGCAAATTGAGAACACACATAGAGGACACACGTTGAGAATACACATTGAGAATGCACATTGAGAATACACATTGAGGACACACATTGAGGACACACATTGAGGACACACATTGAGGAAACGCATTGAGGTCTCACATGGAGGGCACACATTGAGGACACGCATTGAGGACACACATTGAGGAAGTACATTGAGGTCGCAAATAGAGAACTCACATTGGGGACACACATTGAGGACACATATTGAGGACACACATAGAGGGCACACATTATTGATCACATGGAGGACACGCATTGAGTACTCACATTGAGGACACACATTGAGTACGCACATTGGAGACACACATTGAGTATTCACATTGAGGACACACATTGAGTACGCACATTGAGGACACACATTGAGGACACATATAGAGTACGCACATTGAGGACACACATAGAGTACTCACATTGAGGAAACACATTGAGGACACATATAGAGGACGCACATTGAGGACACACATTGAGTACTCTTATGGAGGACACATATTGAGAACTTACATGGAGGACACACACATTGAGGACTCAAATTGAGGATTCACATTGAGGACTCACATGGAGGACACACATTGAGGACACACATTTAGTACTCAAATTGATGACACACATAGAGGACGGACTATGCAATATTAGGAAGGCAGTATTTAAGCACTATTAAGAGCATACACTTGAAACGTTTCCATGATAAAACCCCTTTATTGGGATACCCTGGACAACAATTGCAGTTTTATATAATATCTTTTGAATTTCATTTTTTTCACTAAACCACACGCACATAAACATAAAGTACGGACAAACGCGCGTATAATGAGAACGGGAAGTGTAAAGTGTGCACGCACGAAAACACATTGTTTTCATNTCATAGATTAATACATTTACAGACTAAACAGACGCTTCACTATTTCTTTGTTTATAATTTCGAACTTCTGATATAGTTTCTTCGTCATTTCCAAACATAAAAGTTATTATCTTGGGAACCCAGCTTTTCCTGGAGATCTACATAATTTACAAACAAACAGAGATTACTACTTTATATATCAGATACAAAATCTCTACTCTGAAAGAATTTAACCAATTGTATTTTGATTTTCGTTTTTCAGAATCAAATAGAAACACACTTAAAATACTATTATTATAGATATATATATATATATATATTATATGTAAATATATTATAGATTCATATTAGATTTTTGTAGAGCATTTTTAAGTCCCTATGGAATGTGTGAAACAGACTGGATACACGATGCATGATGCCCTAACCATACAATAAGCATGATCAGTGAGTATATATAGACACTCTCAAATTTATTTATCAAATTTTTAAACAGCCTCGACTCTAAGTGTCGCAACGTCTTAGGCTTAGGGTTTACCTCACCAACTTTCTCATACTTTTTTGAAGCCCTAGGCATATACATTTCAAAAATGCAACACGTTTGTTTATAGCTTAAGCATACAAGGAGTAATTGGCGAATTACTGTTCGATTTTTACGTGTAATATTGTGATTTATCTTACAGAAAACCGATGATATTTTATCCATGGTTTGACCATTCACTAATTCCCAACCCAGGGGGTCAGGTTGTTTTCCTGAGGGGGGGGGGGATTAATATTGAAGGGTGGTGTTGGGATAAAATGAGTATGGGGAGGGAGGGGTGTGTGGGGGAGGGGGCGGAAACGAACTAACCAATATTTCCTACAAAACAATGTTTAAAGCGTAGGATTTGAGTTAAGTTCAGACTTTTGTCTGCCCCGAATCACATGTTTTCAATATATTAAATGTTTCAATATCTATATATAAATTTGGCTTGTCTGTCTGTTTGGGTGTTTTGGTGTCTGTTTGTTTGTTTGTATCCAATAAACGTCAAAACGGGTGAACCGATCGGGCCCAAATTTTTTGTGGGACATCACGTGAAAATTTTGAAAATCCACGAAATTTTTTGTGAAAATCCGCGAATTATTTTTGTTTTGTTTTTCGATGTACACATAGAGAACATGTTCACAATTAATTTGGAAGATGGGCGCGAAGCGCCCTCAATATGTTTCAATATATTATATGTTCTCAATATATTATATGTTTTCAATATATTTTAGGCTTTCAATAAATCATATGTTAAAATAAATTATATGTTTTCGGCATATTATATGTTTTCAGTATATTATATATTTTCAATATAATTTATGTCTTTCAATATATAGTTTATGGTTTAATATATTAAATGTTTCAATATATTTTAATAATGAATGAAATTGAATAATGAGTTGCAACCTTTTGTTGAATAATACTTCTAAATATAGTTAGAATGATTGAGCTATCTCCAAAAATACATTGATGTTATAAATTATTATAACAATTTTTAATCAAAAAAATAACATAATTAAAGCTATCACAAAAGTAAATTAGTGCACAGTATTAAATTTGTTACAGACTTTTTGCAATTTTCTAAATTTCCTGTTTCTTTATCTATCTGTCAATATGTCTATTTAAATTGATTGGTTTAAACCAACGCTATATAGTTGTAGAGTTTTCAGAGACCCCTTCCAGACCACCCCGTGAGAATTTGAAAAGTTAAAAAATTAGGATCTCCACAGGAAATCCCCATTTCCTATATGGTCACAGTACATTAATATCCTCCCCTCCCCTCCTCCCCTGTCTCCCAGTTACGTATGCAGGAGGGGGGTGGGGTGGCGGGAAACAATTCTTAATTCCCGGATTTTCTTGTGAATTTAAGAAGTTGCGGCATGGGGCGGAATATCCGCTGTCAACAGGAAGAGAGAGAAATATTCGGAGAAAATATTGACCAGGACTAGTGGGCCCAGGGGCGCTTTACTCCGTGCGGCGCGCGCCGCCCGGTTTGGATGAATCAAAACCCCGACTCCGGACGCGCATACATCCGTGCTCTACAGTTTTCTCAGTTCACGATAGACCGCTATGTAAGACGGACGTCTACACAGCTAACCCACCAATCTAAATATTAACAAACACAATGAGTGTTTTGTCTACGTTACTTATGTTCAGCGCGAGCATTGCGAGTGTTCAATCAGACTGCTATTTCCCTGTGGAAATGCAAGGAGAATTTATGACGCAGTGGAAAGAGTCGCAAGAAATAGCGTACACCAGTATATCTCTTACATACAATTCTGTTCCAAGTTGGGGAAACTGTCACTCACGGCATAGGGAAAATGTGATTTTAAGAGATTCCTCATCGCGAGGCTCAGACTGTTTCAGATGTATCAGAATTATTCAAAGATCAGTGAATGTAAACCAAGTTCATGTTAGAAACTTACACAAGTGTTTTGATACTGAAGAGGAGGCACTTAGAGACTGCCCGACCTCTCATGAGGTGACAAGCCGGGCTGTTGAGGAGATAATGTTGTATAAAACTCGTGGATTTTACGGAGAATCGGCCGTCACACAAACACATTGTCCGTTCAGCGGTCGATGGAAGTTTTCCTATTCTAATGTTGAAGAGGCTGCTGGCTCGTGTGATAGCGAGAGTTCAGAGGCCGGAGGCTGTCCCAGCGAGTTTATGCTTGACCTCAAGTTCCGTAATTGTGATTTCCCGGATTTTGAAATGAGCTTCCAATGTTTGGGACACTGGTCTGGAGAAGATGGGAGGAACTATCTGTCCTTGTTGGACACCAAACTACCCCAGCTGGGAGAAGAACCAAGACCAAGATATAGATGTGCAGTTTATCAAACAGATTTACACTCTGGAGTCACTCATCTTGCACTTTCCAACGACTCCACATGTGTTCACCAGCTGGAGTCTCATGTTAGTGGATATGAGACACTGCGACTAGAGAGGATAGAACTGAGTCCCAAACCTGAGATGGGACACAAGTTCCCTGCCTGGGCACAGGGGGACTGGGACAAGGTTCATGTGAAAGGATCAGAGTTAATTTATAGAAGTAAAGAGGAGTTGACAACCTACCATGTTGATGGTTTGATTTCACCATCACAAGGACGGATTGTCTCCAGGATTAGTACAGCGTGTGGAGAGCTGGGTTATGCTTGTCTAGCTCTGGAACAGCGTACAGAGAATATTCTTGAGCTAAGAATTGGCAAGATTGATTCTAAGCTTGACGATGCTCTTTGCTCTGACGAGTATCTGGACCAGTACGCTTGGATTACTGTTGGAAAAGAGGTTGTTAGAACTCCATGTCCACTTTCAGGAACTTTTCATGGACTTATTCCTGATGCAGAGGGACTGTGCGCCCGTTCATCCACCTCATGTTCCCGACCCGACCAGATGGAGTACAAGGTGTACAACTGTGAAAACACCACCGAGGTGTACGAGGACAGGTTGTACCAGTGTTATGGTCAATTCCAAGATGGCGGTTTAGTGTACACATTTACACAGAGACTTGATCTGCCAGTACAAGAGTGTTTTGTCGGTACAACACGGGATAGTGTAGAGCACTACGTCATGGAGGCTGGAGCACATTGTAAGCGTGGTAAAGAGCCCTCTCTGTACGGTATGGTTATGCTAAAAGAAGAGGATCTAATTTGTGATGAAATTATTGAGGAAACTCAAGAACCAGTTCTCCGTCCTGTAACCCCAAAACTACTGCACCCAACCCTCAGACCGGAAACAGGGCACAAAAAGCACAATCATAATCCAAACCATCATCATAGGTCCTCCAGACCACAATCCTCTACTCCCCCCTCCATCAATCAAGTGGAGTCCTCAAATTCTTCCCCCTTCCTGACCCCCTTCCCGGGACTATTTATCCTGCTCCTAGTCTCCTGCTTCTGGTGCTAAACTCCTGTTTCTGATACTAGAAACAATTATCTACTCCTAAATCTGGTGCAGCACAAATCCAAAAGAATTCATACAGTTTTTCATTCTGATAAGAAACCAACTAGTGATAATATAAATACTTAATATATTTAATTTATAGTACTTTAATCATAATAAATTTTACTCTCATAAGTCATGATGTTTTTCAACTTTTTCAATATAGAGATTGACAAAGAAGTTTAGATTTAGAAAAATATGATACACTCGTAGGAAGTAAAACAGGCTAGAGTCAATATGAGAGCAAAAAGAAAGAGTAAAAAAGAAAAATTTTAATGAAAAAAAAACATTATTTTTAACTAAGAGCTTGAGAAATATACATGAAAAGTAAAACAAAAACTATAAATATTCAACAATGGCAAAATGAAACAATTCATAATGACTAAAGGACTTCATTTATAATTTTTCAAATTAACAATTGGTCTACTGTAATTTAGTTTTCAAGCATTTTTGATAGAGATATGCTTATTTTTTTAAATGAAATTGAGTAGTTGCCACAAACTTTGATCTTCTAATTCCCATATCTTTGCAACTCAAAGTCGTAGACCTTTGATATTTCTGTTAAATCTGTTAGATCAAAATTTGAGTTGAGGTAAAGATTCAAACCTAATTTCTTTCTAAAGAAATTTTGTGAAAACTCATTTTTATTTCAGCGTCAAATATCAAATGCACTGAGTTCTTGGCATAAATTCTAATGTTCTAATTCCTAAATTTGTGCAACCTAATGTGTGTTTGTGTTTATATTTTAAACAATTGTTTATGTTAGGAGGCAAATAATCTCGTGTTTATGTTAGGAGACAAATAATCTTGTGTTTATGTTAGGAGGCAAATAATCTTGTGTTTATGTTAGGAGTGTGTTTATGTTAGGAGGCAAATAATCTTGTGTTTATGTTAGGAGACAAATAATCTTGTGTTTATGTTAGGAGGCAAATAATCTTGTGCTTATGTTAGGAGACAAATAATCTTGTGTTTATGTTAGGAGGCAAATAATCTTGTGTTTATGTTAGGAGGCAAATAATCTTGTGTTTATGTTAGGAGGCAAATAATCTTGTGTTTATGTTAGGAGGCAAAGTAAACATTTAATATTTTAACTTAGTCTTTTTGATCTAACAGAATTCATAGTTTTAAATGTCAAAGATATAGGAATTTAAAACTCATAGTTGATTTTAATAATTTTATTCGAACTTTAAGGTTTAAAAATGAATTACATGTCAATTAATGAGATAATGATGATTTTATTGAAAATAAAATGAATGAAACAAAATGACGTGTTCAAAATGTATTAACGACATAAAATCCGCAAAACTATCTGGGACATTTCTTTAGGACATTTACTGGTGCAATCAACTACATTTATATACGGTCATTCTATTCTTACATTCATGTTTTTCTAATTTTTCACATTTTTTTAGCGAGGTTTTAACATGTTTATTTTTAATTATTTCATGTGTTCTTCCATTTTTTATTTGTTTCAGCAATTATTTGATTTCTTTCTTTTTCATTTATTTCAGTTATAATAATGTTTTTGTTTTCCTTTATTTTTCTATTTACTAAAACAAGACATTCATGTACATGTTGCCTTTAGCTGGACCGAATGGGTGAAATTTTTTGTTGACACTCATGGGTGGCAAGGGGTGTTATAGGCAAAAAAAATCGATTTTAAAATATTTTTTTTCTAAATTTTGTGCAATTTTTTTCCCACGAGCAACCTTCAGCTAGTTTTTAATAAAACCTGAAGAAAGATATTGAGTCTTTGCCACAAACTTAAATTTTTTAATCCCAATATCTTTACAACCTAATGGCGTAAACCTTAAACCTTAGATATTATAAGCTTGGATTATTTGATACAGCACAGTTCATAGTTTAAAACATCTAATTTCTAAGACATCTGGTTGCAAAGAAAAAGGAATTAGAAAATAAGAGTTTTGGGCAAGGCTCATTTCATTTCGAGGTTTCGAGAGTTAGGAGACTGTATGCGTAATTTCATATAACCCTCCATTACAGATGCCAATACCCTATTCACAACAGTACCCATAAAACCTTTGTCTGATCAACTATAAATTGGATATCCATTTTTTTGTTTTTAAAAACTGTTTATTTTCATTTGTGGTAAAAGTGACTTGCGCAGTTCTTCCTTTTAAGAAAGAATGAATAAATTATCAGAAACGAACAATTTTCAAGTTAGAAAAATGATAAGATTAAGGTTTCAAGGGTACCGTTGTAAATCGGACATTGCTATTTTATTTTGAAATTCATTAAACAAGTTGCAAAGATATGAGATTATTATTTTTTATTACAGACTCAAATTTTCTAATTCCTTTATTTTTGCAACCTGATTAACTGGTGTAAACCTTTTATATTTCAAAATTAGGTTATTTGATATAACAAAATTTAAACAATGAAATATATAATTTCTACGACATTGGGTTGCAAAGATATAGGGATTAGAAAATCAGAGTTTGTGAAAAAGACTCATTCTCTATATTTTACGGTTCATTTCCAGAACCGTGAACATTGGTATGGAATATATATCAATGTTTAAGAGTCGGAATGTATTTCAAATTAAATATTAATTGATCAATTGAAGTTTGAACAAACAAGATCAGATTCATTCATTCATTAATCATTTTGAATGAATTATTGAAAGGTATTGAATGGGCAGATTACATAGTGTTTGTAGGGTAGAGCCGAGCCTTAGGCCAAACCTAGGCATATAGCAGGCATTCATGAATTCAGGCAGTATATTACCTAGTAGATGAGTTATAGAAGAGAATATGAGAAATGTGAGAATGAATAAAAAAAATATGAGATAAATGGATAAAAATATGAGATAAATGGATAAAAATATGAGATAAATGGATAAACATATGAGAGCTGGGAAAATTAAAGGGACTGTCGACGTAATTTCAAGTGACATGTCCGATTCAAAATAGAGAAGTGAAGGATGGATAGGACGGGTTCAGGGTCGGGAGAAGAGAAGGATGGATAAGACAGGTTCAGGGTAGGGAGAAGAGAAGGATGGATAGGAAGGCGTCAGGGTAGGGAGAAGAGAAGGATGGATAGGAAGGGTTCAGGGTAGGGAGAAGAGAAGGATGGATAGGAAGGGTTCAGGTTAGGGAGAAGAGAAAGATGGATAAAACGAGTTCAGGGCTGGGAGAATAGAATGATGGATAGGACGGGTTCAGGGTTGGGAGAAAAGAAGGATAGATAGGACGGGTTCAGGGTTGGGAGAAGAAAAGGATGGATAGGACGGGTTTAGGGTTGGGAGAAGAGATAGATGGATGGGACGGGTTCAGGGTAGAGAGAAGAGAAGGATGAATAGGACAGATTCAGGATAGGGAGAAAAGAAAGGATAGATAGGACGGGTTCAGGGTTGGGAGAAGAGAAGGATGGATAGGACGGATTCAGGATAGGGAGAAGAGGAGGATAGATAGGACGGGTTCAGGGTAGAGAGAAGAGAAGAATGAATAGGACGGATTCAGGATAGGGAGAAAAGAAAAATTGATAGGACGGGTTCAGGGTTGGGAGAAGAGAAAGATGGATAGGACGGGTTCAGGGTAGAGAGAAGAGAAGGATGAATAGGACGGATTCAGGATAGGGAGAAAAGAAAAAAGGATAGGACGGGTTCAGGGTTTGGAGAAAAGAAGGATGGATAGGACAGGTTCAGGGTAGGGAGAAGAAAAGGATGGATAGGAAGGGTTCAGGGTAGGGAGAAGAGAAAGATGGATAAAACGGGTTCTGGGTTGGGAGAATAGAATGATGGATAGGACGGGTTCAGGGTAGGGAGAAGAGAAGGATGAATAGGACGGATTCAGGATAGGGAGAAAAAAAATGGATAGGATGGGTTCAGGGATGGGAGAATAGAATAATGGATAGGACGGGTTTAGGGTAGAGAGAAGAGAAGGATGAATAGGACGGATTCAGGATAGGGAGAAAAGAAAAATGGATAGGACGGGTTCAGGGTTTGGAGTAAAGAAGGATGGATAGGACGGGTTCTGGGTAGAGAGAAGAGATGGATGAATAGGACGGGTTTAGGATAGGGAGAAAAGAAAAATGGATAGGACGGGTTTAGGGTTAGGAGATAAGAAAGATTTGATAAGATGGGTTTAGGGTATAGAGAAGAGAAGGATGAATAGGACGGGTTTAGGATAGGGAGAAAAGAAAAATGGATAGAACGGGTTCAGGGTTTGGAGAAAAGAAGGATGGATAGGACGGGTTCAGGGTAGAGAGAAGAGAAGGATGAATAGTACGGGTTTAGGATAGGGAGAAAAGAAGGATGGATAGGACAGGTTCAGGATAGGGAAAAAAAAGAAGGATGGATAGGACGGGTTCAGGGTAGGGAGAAAAGAAGGATGAATAGGACGGGTTCAGGATAGGGAGAAAAGAAGGATGGATAGGATGGGTTCTTGCAAGGAGAGAGAAATGAGAGAAGGATGTTCGATCTATTAGAAGGATCAGAACACAGAAGGTCTGCAGGTTGAAAAATTATCTGACGACAGAAACTANTCATCATCATCTTCCTCACTCCGCCCCACCCTTTCTTAGAATAACATTATTAAAACAAAATATAAATTAATTGATTTTCTCTGTCAATAGAAGAGTCTTAATAGTAAGATTTTTAAACTTCTTTCAGGTTACATTAAAAATGTTTTGAGGAAATATTTCATTAGACATATCTTTAGTTAGACATATCTTTAGTATATTTCATTAGACATATCTTTAGTATATTTTAAAAGGAATTTAAAAAAAACAACTACTTGATACTTTTTGCTTTCAGAGGCTTAATTTCTACCCGATCATAATGGAACTAATATGATATTTCCTAATATTTTCTATTTTTCATGATCTGATAGTTACTTTCATTACTGTTTCGAGGATTTTTGATAATGAAGACGACATTTTCATTTTTTCCTGGAACGTTCGAAAATCCAGCGCCAGAGAAATATCTTTAAAAAAACGAAATCAAAAATATTATGAAATATAAACTATATACAAATGTGGCGAAAGATAATCGATGACTATAGGTTGTGATATCTGAATGATTTGTTTGAAATTAAATTGATTTTTTACGGTCTAAGTCATATGTTGCAATTTTCTAAATTTGTATGGACGCTATGTTATTCGGTATGAGCCGTCTTTAACAATTTTCTCCTTATAGATGCAACAGATAGAAAGTGCTTTTTTATCACATCAAGCCTATTCCTATACCCC